AAAGCTCAGTTGCCACTTCATTTCCCTGAATGCGTGGGTGGTGGTGATATGATCTGCTTAGCTGAGGGCTATTGGGCGTGCTGGTCTTACCTCTTCTTCAAGTGTACGGATACCGTTTTCTGGCTTGCATTGAATGCATTTTTTTTTTTTTTTAAACAGAGTTTCACTATGTTGCCCTTGGTAGAGTGCTGTGATGTTATAGCTCACAGCAACCTCAAACTCCTAGGCTCAAGTGATCTTCTTGCCTCAGCTTGAGCCACCTGGCCCGGCGATAATACTATATTCTTTTCATTTTTTATTTATTCTTTTTTTGAGACAGAGTCTCATCGTATTGTAAAAGTTGTAGTTGGTTTGAGTACTGTGGCAAGTAGCTCACAGCAGCCTCAAACTCTTGGCAAGGGGATTGAACACATGAGATGAGAGGCAATTGGAAGGGCCTCCCTGTCAATAAAACTTGTACTGTGGCAAATAGCTCACAGCAGTCTCTAACTCTTGGCCTTAACCTTGGTCTTGCCTCAGCCTCCCAAGTAGCTGGGACTATAGGGGCCTGCCACAACGCCCGGCTATTTTTTGTTGCAGTTGTCATTGTTGTTTAGTTGGCCTGGGACAAATTTGAACTTGCCACCCTTGGTGTATGTGGCTGGTGCCATAACCAATGTGCTATAGGCACCGAGCCGGGAGTGCTACTTTTGACATCATTTGTAAACTTACACAGAAAACAATTGATAGACTAATGTCTTTGAAAGAAGGAGGAACCAGGAATAATTCAAATCTATAGTACCAGGGAGACATATTATTTCAAAGCTGAGGATTAGACTTCTAAAACTTAACTTTGGTTTTTGTTAATATTTTTTTTATCCTTTTAGTCACTTTACACTTCCCTATTCTTTGGACTGTTACCTGTCAATAATTTCTTCATGGCATTTGGGAAAGTGCAAATGGATTATACACTTGGAAGGTTTGCTAGTCTAAAGTGAGAGTCCTTTTATTTGTTTCAAGGGCAAAAGTCCTCTTTTTTTTCAAACAGAACAAATGGAATAGATTTTCTATAGTAAATGATGCTGAGAACTGTTCTAATAATTGAACAAAAACTAATTCAACATCATGACAGTATTACCTTGGATGGAGTTGATTTGCTATTCATTTGAGGTTTCTAGAGGGGAAGATTCAGGAGATGGAAATGAATGTAAAATGTGAAGTTATTGAAAACTCTATTTCAGCATTTCACTCTGAAGACCTAACAGTGCAGCTTTTTGCAAAGGCCAAGGTGATGATTTTGGTTAGATGTGAAATTCTGAGAGAAAGGGGTCCAGAATGAGGGAGAGGCAGGAGGTTTTTTTTTTTTTTTTTTT